GTTGTCACGACTCTGCCGACGGATCTTTCGCAGTCGTGTCTGTTTTGTCCAGTCGTTTCGCTGCTGGGACTTTGGCGTTCACCATCATCGGACAAACTCTCGTGGTTGTTTATTGCTACTTTAAAATCTTCCGTCGGGTGCAAATAAGCGTGAAAAGGGTTAGCATTTTAAATTTCCAAATCGTGAACAATCTGCCTTATTCGTACCCTAGAAAGGACAAGCGACTCGGGTTTTATGTCCTTGCAGTGTGTTTTATCTTTATTCTCACAACCGAACCTATTTTTTGGGTTCTTGTCGCTGGATTGTTCGTCCCAGTGTCTGTCGCGATTTGGACTTCGACTTGGATTGTGTTTTGCACCATATTTGTTTCCAATCCGTTCCTGTACACGTGGAAGAACGAGGAGTTTCGGAAGTCCTTCAGGTCGGTGATGAGAGGAGATTTCTTGCGGGGGTCCACGGTTGGAGTCGAGCCCATCACGATCAATACTATTTCTCATATCTTTCCCAGACAAAACAGCCGAAGGGCGTTTCTGGGGGAGATGAACTGAGATAAATGTGATTGGTTGTGACGACAAAATTCGCTTGTGCCTGTTGAAGATGCTTCTACAATCTGCTGTTTTATTCTGTCGATCAGGATTAAGCTGCATGTGTTTACTGTGATTTGTAAAGCTGGGATTTTGTACATTTTTTTGTGGAAGTGTGAGATGTTTTTGCACAGCTGTGAAGGCTACACTGTCACTTTTTTAAATAAGAGATGTTTATAAATGTTCAAATAAATATGAATATATCTTGACTCTTTCTTTTTTTTATATCTAGTTTTTATAGATTTTTTATGAACATATAAACAGTGGAAACAAAGCAAACAAACAAAAAATAATATATACATACATACATACATACACTGGAAAAAACGGTACAAACCGTAAAAGTAATTTCTCATTTTTACCGTATTTCATTAATTTATAGCGGTATTATGTCTCTATTTTGGATTGTGAACATCAGCACATCTTTTGTTACACAGATAGACACGTGAACACAGCCATATGCAGATGCTAATGAGAAAGTTGCATGATAAACCAATGCTTATCACAAACAACTTTTCCCACAAGCAGAAAAGAAAAGTGTAAAGAAGTGTCATTCACTCAGCTACTAAATACCAGTATGGTAACAAGCAAAAAATTGTCATGAAAGTCATGAAATAAACATTGTTTATCAATATTGGATGTTACATAAATTTGTAATGTACATTAATGATGGGGAAGCAACTAAAAAGATCCATAGTAATGTCAACAAAAAGCATAAAAAGTGATGTGCCATGCAGGGAGTTATGGGTAAGTCAATTTACGATTATTCTTTTTATATATCAAGAAAACATACCGTTAACCAGGTTAAGGACTTTTACTGTAGCATTTTTACAGTTTTTTACGGTCATTTTTTTTACAGTGCATATACATACATACTGTAAAAAATCTGTAATTTTCACCAGCTGAGGTGCCGGGAAAAAAAACTGTAAAAGAACGGCTGTTAAATTACAGAAATTTACCAGAAATTTTAATTTAAAGACATTTCTGTAATTCAACGTCCGTTATTCTACCGTAAATTTCTGTAATCTAATGACCACTACTCTAAAGTAAATTTCTTTAATTTAACAGACATTATTTTACAGTAAATTTCTGTAATTCAACGCTTGTTATTTTACGGTAAATTTCTGGAATTTAACGGCCATTATTATATGGTAAATTTCTGCAATCTAATGTCTGTTATTCTACAGTAAGTTTCTGTAATTTAACGGCCGTTATTTTTACTGTAAATTTCTCTAGTTGAATGTCCCTTAGTCTACGGTACATTTCTGTAATTTAACGGCCGTTATTCTATGTTAAATTTCAGTAATTTAACAGCCATTATTTTACGATAAATTTCCGTAATTTATCGTCCAATATTCGATGTAAATTTCTGTGATTAAATGGCCGTTGTTTTATAGTGAACTTCTGTAATTTAACGTCCGTTATTCTACGGTAAATTCCTGTAATTTAACAGACATTATTTTATGGTAAATTTCTATAATTTAACAGCCCTTATTTTACTTTTTTAAAAGTAAAAGTAAAACCACATTTTTTACTATGCAAATACATCCATTCCACACATACATACATACATAAAAATATTAAAGTAGACTCATCACGAAAATTAAATAAATATAAAGTAAAAGGTTGCCAAATATATTCTTACAATGATGCATAATGTCTAACATCATTATTATTAAAATATTGTAGTTCTTAAATATTGTTTTGCATAATTATTGTATTGCATTATATTCACTATCTATCCCATTCTTTCATCTATCTATCATCTATCTATCTATCTATCTATCTATCTATCTATCTATCTATCTATCTATCTATCTATCTATCTATCTATCTATCTATCTATCTATCTATCTATCCATCTATCTATCTATCTATCTATCTACCTGTCTGTCTGTCTGTCTGTCTGTCTGTTCTTTTTTTCTTCCTTCCTTCCTTCCTTCCTTGCATCCTTCCATCCATCTATCCAACTATCCATCCATCCATCTATCTATCTATTCTTTCCTTCCATCCATTTATCCATCCATCCATCCATCTATTCTTACCTATCTCTCTGTCTGTTTGTGTCTGTCTTCCTTCCTTCTTTCCTTCCTTCCTTCCATCCATCTATCCATCTATTCCTTCCTTCCTTTCTATCCATCCATCCATTTATAAAAACGCTATTAATAATAGAAGCTATTTGATGTTTAAAATGTCATAAAATTATTTATTTTGAGAGCATGTTTAATGTCAATTTGTTTTAATATTTATTCAAAGTTTACTGAAAGTTAATTTTACTCATTTGACGACTTTTTAACTTAGTGTTGAAGGTAATGAGTTGATTATATACATCATTGCTTCATCTTAAACAGAGTAAGTTCAAAGTACTCATATAGATTAGTTTTTTTAGCTCAAATGGATTGAGTTGCCTTAACTTATTGGGTTTTACAGTACTCAGTTGGTTTGAGTTCTCTTCATTTATTGCGTGATACTATGCTCAGATTGCTTCATTTACTCAAATGGATTAAGTTCACAGTACTCATTAGGATTTGTTTTTGAATTTAAATGGTTTGTTTTCTCAAATGTTTTGAGTTACCTTAACTTTTGGGGTTTTACAGTGAACTGAAAGTTGCTATATATTATTAATTATTCTGCTATAATTCATATTATTATAGAAAATGCTTGGTATTTAGTTTAATTATTATTTTTATTTATAAGTTCAGTAAATGCCTTTTATGAAATCCTAATGTGTTTACATTTAGTTTAACATTTGAATATCACTTCAAGAATTTTGCATGTTTGTAATATTAAGTGCAATCAATATTACTTTTACAGCATTAACATTTTTTCCCCAGTTTGTTTGGTCAGATTTTTCTTTAAATATCTCTTAACATAACAGAAGCAGGCACATCAGTCATGTAGAAATGCAGATTTTTATGTGCAGGACAACAAAAGTCATCTGAGCAATTTGAACCCTGATGTAAAACTTTGACACTAATAAAAAAGCTCCATTCAGTCATGTCCGCTCTTAAACGCTCTTTTACATAATCGTTATCCTCTATTGTTTAAAACCTGAGCAAGCATCTGTGCAACTGACCTGGAGGATGACACTGGTTTGTTCAGCTGCTTCTTGGGAAAAAAAACCTGCAAATTCACAGAGCACAAAAAACGACAATATAATCATAGCTTCTGAATCATGATGGTTAGCGATTATGAAACTTGTTATTGTTGTTTGATAAGTTAAAAGAGAAGTTAAGTTTTGTTGCTTTAAAGGTCCTGTAAAATTAAAATCAAGTGTTTTAGAGTATGTTAATCTTAAGTATAAGCTGTAGTGTGCTCCAAAACAGTGACAAAATTCACATTTAGAAGAAATAAACCTCCAAAGCTTGCAGTTTGTCACTTCTGCCTAAATGAATCAACATTTTTTCATACTTCAGTTTCTCATCAAATCTTTTGACCAATCAAATGCTCTCTAGTGTCTGGGATGCCCCGCCCTTTTGAAGATGCTTCTCATTTGGTTTTAATTTGTCATGCTTGAGCTTAACCACTCTCACTGGCAGAGCTGGGATAAAACAGAAGCGCTATTGGCTGTTTTTAAAAGGGGAGGGGCTACTGTAAGTCCCGCCTTGTCTTCATGTTTCAATTGCGATTACATTATATATCGAACAATAATCCACAATTCAAAGCACTTTATGAGACCCTTAAATGCTTGCCATCTTTTGAGTTCAGCGAATTCTGATTGGCTGACAGGGTTTTTACTGTACGTCAATTGAAAAAGAAAATCTGAAAGCGATTTCAGTCTTGTCATTATTCGTTTTATCGTATAACAATATTTGCAACTCGTATCTTTCATAAAAAATTATTAGCAGCCGACAGCTTTGTTGAATTTAACTGTGTCATTCAGTTTTGTTCTTTGTTTAAAATTGCTTGTAGTTACATTCTGTTGTCATTGGCTCACCCTTTCGTTTCTTTATATTTGTTTCTTCTCTTAAACACAAAAGAACTTGTTGGCACCCAATGACTTCCATATTCCCATATTTTTAAGTCAAGGCATCCCAGCAACAGCATTCTTCAAAATATCTTCTTTTGTGTTCTAAAGAAGAATTAGACGTTAAACATTAATAGCATTAATAGATGTTAAAACTACGTGATGAGGTTATTTTGTGAGAACATATCCCATTAAAGCAGGATGTATTCTGATCATTCATCGACTGGAAACATTAAATATTATAAAGCATATAACTTTTATATGTTTTCAGAGCTATATCATTAACAAAATTATTAGTTTAGTGTGAAAATGTCTGTCAAGATATTTCTAAGTTTACACAGTATATATAACCAGGTAAAGATTCAAGCATATTCGGCTGTCCAAAGGGCACACCAGACCCCACAATGTTGCGAGACTCCACAAATCAATCCAAAATCCCAGCCAATCAGAGGAGCGTGTGGGCGGAGCTATCAGCAGGCGCACTGACTGCACGTCGCAGGGAAACGGATAAGTAACCTACATTATCTAATAATTCATATACAGAGCATTTTAACATGATTAAAAACACACATCGTGTCACTTATGCATTCCTCATCATGAAAACACTTGCTGGATAACACTGAGTCGAACATGTTAACATTCATGGTTGTTTTAATGTATTTTTAGATCTGAGGTAAATTATCCATTGTCGCCTTCATGTCCATACAGGTCAGTCTACACACCGTATAGAGGTTTAAGTATGGCAACTTGCAAGTGAGATTCAAACTCACATTAGACACAAAATAAAGCATATCATTTATTTTTATTAGGCTTTATCATGTTTTTATGTCTTCTTTTGCAGAATTATAGTCTACCGTCGAGGTTTTGCGCCTGCTAGCTGTTATATGGTAATGTCACACACAATACACTTTTACTATTCTTAACGTACATAAGCAAATGTTTTTTTTTTCTATATAGGCCTCATGTTATACACTTAAATTAATTCATATTTATACAATAGCCCCCTCCTCAATCCATCAAGCTACTTTCTTTTAGATCAAGCATTTCAGGGAAAACAAAATAATTTCCCCAAGCTTGTAAAAAAAAGCGTTGGAAGTTGTTTTAATGTGTCGCCACTCGCTAATTCATAAAGGAAATGTTATCTTCAGAGTGTACACAGTGATTTCCTGGAAACCCTGTCAGGACAGCAGAGGGAGCCTGTGGTGGATGGAGAACTTCTGCTCGCCTCTCTTCTTGGTCCAAACAAAGGATTGAGGGATGGGGAATTCCTTCATGGCTTATTTAGGGCTACTATCCCACCCCCTTCTCATATAAATGAGATCCAGAGCTGAATGAAAGCAAGATCACTAACTCATTTTCACTCCCTTGGAGCACTTGGAAAAATTCTTCATAAGTGTACAACATGGATACAGCTTTCTTGCTGACTTTGCTTTTGCCAGTTGCAGGTAAGTTTCATCTGTTAGTAATTTAACTGCATATGCTATTAGGCAACATGCATATCTTTACATATTTTACAGTCTTGCTTAACATTTCTTTTGGTCAGTTTCTTAGACTTTATATGGCTGATTTTATTAATGCAGTTATATTATTATTGGTATTGTTGTTGTTGTTATTATTATTATTTAAATGTTTACTTTTTTATTATGAAAAAAATTTGCTTTGTTGTATAATTTTTTAATATTTAACCTCTTGCTTGTATTTTCCACATGGAGAAAAATATTCTTAATATAATTATTAATATTGATTATGATTAGAAGTTATGATAACTGATTACATACAAATAATTGTATTTATTTATTTAATTTTTGCATAAATTGACATTATCGAAAATAACAGAAAATAATATTTAGAAAAAAAAGATTTTAATCCTTAGCCAACACATTACCTGTTTTAATTACAGATGAGTTGTTACATCAATATTCAGAATAGCCCTGATTTTTAACCAATTGTTTACCAATTTTTAACAAATTTGACCAATATATATATATATATATATATATATATATATTTTTTTTTTTTTTTTTTTTTTTTTCCCACTAAAACCCACAACTAACAAATCCAGTAATTTCAGAAAATCAGAGAATTGCCATGTGATCTTTTCATTTTTCCACAACTAAACATTGTAAAACATAATTTCTTATTTGTAAAAGTTGTAAATGAAACAAACAACATTTCATAAAGAAAATATACATTTTGTTCTTGTAATGTTAATTCTTAAACGTTGAACTTTTCATTTCTTTGTACCTACTTGTGAATTTTAGAAACATCTTTACTCTTTACAGACTTTTGTATACACAAATATGTACATATTGCTTTTTTATTTCTGTAGCTGAACTGCATATGCACATTTGAGACGTTTTTTTACAGTGCAACTGAACAAGCATGAATTGTGCAAAGTTTTTACATTCATGATTTAATTAGTTATGCAAATATTTTATTTCCATATTCAAACTCTGTATTTTAGTCAGATATGCAAATGTATAAATTATAAATCATAATAATCAGTGCTTGTTGAACATAAATGATTGATGTTGGAACTGGAAAAATGTTTGTCTTTTAGTTGTTTCCCACACGCTGGAGCTGCCGCGCAGTGTTCAATTTAAAGTGGGCGACAGGAATGAGCTGAGATGCAGGATGTTATCTTGCCCAGAGAAGGTGAAGTTTGTCTGGACCGCGTTAGGAGACAAACCGATTTTTGCCACTCCAAAGACGGGGGATAAAGAAACTGTCCTGATCTTTGACAATGTGACGAAGAATCACGCCAACGCCATAGTGTGCAGAGCTGCCTGCGGAAAAGAGATGAAAGAATTGACCACACAGGTTAATGTTTACTGTGAGTGCTTTCTGTGTTTTCAGTTTAATCATTTGAGTCCGGATTTAGAATACACTTTTCTGTTGTGACTTTTTACCACAGTAAATATTTCTCAAACTATGTCTGGCATGACATTGGAGGTCAGACTGAGTATAGTGTTGGTTAACAAAAATGTATACAACTATATTTGATGGATTTAAAGGTTTTTTTTTTAAGTGAACGGTAAATATTGATTTGATGAACAGAACATTTGTCCAATTAAACTTTTAGTTCAAAAATTAATATTCACTATGATACCAAGCTGTCAACATTCAAGTGGATCAGTGAAAAAAATGCTAAGACAAAAATGTATTTTGTTATTAAAACAATTATTTTAGGAACTGTTTATGAAAAGTTTTGATCCACTCCAAATGTTGACGACTGTATCCCTGCTCAATGAAATACTTTGACTCTTCATTTGTGCTTTTGACTAATTTTTACATTTTGGAATCCATTTCAGCTTTTCCAAGAAACCCAGTTATATCCGGATATGATCACTTGATAATGGGCAAGGAAAACATTTTGTCCTGTGAAGTGTCTTCTGTGTACCCGTCGGAGTACTTTGATGTGGAGTGGTTATATGAAAACAGGGTTGTTCATAGGGAGAGTGGAGACTTTGATAAAGATGCTGTTTCCATTCCTTACACATTTACACCTTCAAGTGAGGACGATGGAAAGGCAATAACTTGCAGAGCATCCCTCAATATTGAAGGTGTACCACCCGAAGAGAAGACCAAGGAGACGTCTAGACACATCAAAGTACTTTGTAAGCTAGACGTACATATTTAAACATAAACCACCTTTCAATTAAACCCAAAACGGATGTGGGAATAGTGTTTCCTCTCTGAAGATGGTGACCCCCATGGTTATTTATTTTTCCCATTGCTTTCACAGCTGCACCGCATAACGTTGAAGTATCTGGAGAGACCGCAGTCTCACTGGGATCCAGTTTAACTTTGACCTGTGAGGCTGAAGGCAATCCAAAGCCTGCTTTTACATGGACGGCTCTTAAACCAGATGGCCATTCTGTGGAACTGGGAAAACAGCGAGATCTCTTCATGCATAATGTGTCCTTATCAGATGCTGGAACTTACCAGTGTAATGTTAGCAATGACTTGGGAAACCAGATGGTCAACGTTTCAGTGGTCGTTCAAGGTTAGAGGTGCACTTAATTCCCTAAATGTGTCTTAAATGTCATTGATCCTATATATTGTAATTTCTAATTTCTTTACAGCACCTCCTGTGGATACTCGCATTGTAGCAAGTCCACAGTCAAGTCTGAACGAAGGAGATTCTGTGACCATTTTCTGCAAGTCCAGTGGGGTTCCTGTGACACGTGTGGTCCTTAGTAATGTTGCAAAAACTATACTAAAAACCAAAGAAGGAGCTGAGACATCAGTTACCATTGACTCCGTCAAGCTATCCGACACGGGCATGTTTGTTTGCGAGGCTTTCAATGAGTATGGCAGTCAGAGGACCACTCTTAATCTAAATGTTGAGGGTAAGACATTGGTGGATTTTGTGGTACTAAATTTGGTCTGTTGAGCACAGTTAGACTGTAGTAATGGGTAAAATAAAATAAACTAATTGTAGGCCTATATCAATTCATTAATTCTTAAAGAGTAGGTCTTCAAAAATATCTTATTTGCAGCTTGTAACGTAGCTGCCCTTCAATGTAAACAGTCTGCAAAGTTGTTAATCAAAAGAATTCATGATAAACAAAGATGCTGTCTCTCAAAAAAAAAAAGAGTCAGCTCTGAGTCATCTAAATGAGCTGTTATTTATGTATGTATAATTTATTTATGTTATATATTATTATTATTATTCTTTTTTTTTATTTTTTGCCTGCTACCAGTCTATGTCAAGAGAATTTATTTAATATATTTACGTAATCCCTGCCTGCTTGTAAAATATTAACTTTCTGAACTGGGACCTGAATAGATAGGGAGAGACCAATCAAAATAGATTTGGCCAGCTGACCAATCAGAGAAGAGTTGGCTTACAAACCTTAAGCACAGAAAGAATTTAATCAAATGTAATATTATATGCAGATTCTGAATTACAATTTTTAATGATCTTAGACCCATTTGAACCTATAGAGGACTCGAACACTTTAATAGGGCACTAAAAAGCTCCTCAGAAAGTGAGAACGTTGTGATTATGTTTTTGGAGGTGACACGGTACAGCTCTTAACTTTCTTTTAATTGTCTTGCAGCTCATTTGCTGGAAGTGGAGCTACAACCAAATGGCACGGTGGTGTCCGACAGAGGCTCCAGTTTGGTGCTGTCTTGTCAGGCTTCAGGTTGCCCTCATCCCGAGTTCTCCTGGAAGAATCTTTCAAACATGTCAGTCCACAGGCAACCTAAAACTGATGGCTCTCTGTCCCAGCTGCTCTTTGATCCGGTGGAGGTGGAGGATGAGGGAACTTACGTCTGTGAGGTCACATGTGGCTCAATCAAGAAGTCCAAGCAGACGGAAGTGAAGGTGTTTTGTAAGTACCTCTACAAGTGTACTATTCAGTCTTAAGCTAAGAAGATCCTCAAGGGATATATTAAATAGTTCACTTGCTGAATGGTGAAGGTATAATGAAGTTTTCAAGGTCTCAACCATTCTAAATTTTGAATGAAATTTGCAATTTCCAGACTCAGGGGTGTCAGACGGGGGGTAAAAGAGTATGCCAACCTGAGTTCACCAAGTAGGACATGTTCCTAGATTAACATTTATGTTGGTCCTTGAGCATCATTCAAATCAGCCAATCAGAATTAGGGATGTGCTTACCGTATATGTTAATTTTAGGCTTACGATTTAGTTTATGCACTTCTACATACAGTAATTGTTATCCAACTCTTATTCCCTTCGGATTTTGGGAATAATTTGCAGTTATAGTTGGGTTTAGGGGTAGGGAATAGGTATGGATGACATTCTCGAATAAAAATGATGTTCCTGGATCAACATCATAGGACTCAAACTCAGTTCCTGAAGGTGTGTAGCTCTGCACAGTTTTGCTCCAACCTTAATCAAGTCCAGCTAATCCAAATAATCAAGATGTTCAGGACTACTAGAGACTATTAAGCAGGTGTGAGTTGGAGGTGTTTGGAACTAAACTGTGCAGAGCTGCGGCCCTCCAGGAATTGAGTTTGAGACCATTGATCAACATGAATGTTAATTCAGGATCGCATTGTACTTGACATCATGACGTACTAATAGAGTAATTGGGGCCCTACTGACTTAGATTTGTTACTGGGGCTCAACATTTCCTGAGTGTCTATCTCCAACACACTTGCCTGGCAGTTTATATTAAGCTTGAAGATCTGGTTCAGTTGTTTTTAATTGGGTTTAGTGAATTGGAATTGGGTTTAGAGAATTAGAGTTAAATTCTACTGAACAGTGGACCTCTAGGAGGAGGTTTGGACACTTTTGTCCCATTATGTTATATTGACCAAAACATTACTCTGTTTGCGCAATGTTACTTCGTCTGGCTAATTTGGGTGCTGAAAAGGCATCAAAATAAACAAAAATTATTATAATATAATCTTGCTGTCCAGGTAAAAGTTTCCTTTTTTCCTCCACCAACTTTGAGTCACAATTAACCAACTGTTAAACGAGTCACCAGTAATTCAGTCTCTTTGTGGGAAGTTTTAATAATAGCTCACCATGACATTGATTTGATAGACTACGGATGTAAAGTAGTTCATCCTGTCAAGATGTAATGCTTCTCTGTTAAATGTTATTGCTTACAAGGTCACAGAGACTTCCCCAAAATCTTCTGTTGCTCACTGAGGATTTTAACTCTTAGAATGTGCGAGGGAGTGTTGCTTTGTTTATATTATGTGCTGTCCTGCATATTGACTCTGTCAGAATGACGATGATCTGCCCTAATTTGAGGATCTTCTTATCTCAAATGTATTTATTACTTCTGGTTTTTATTTATACTTGAAAGTGCTTAGATATTGCGTTTTCTTCTCTTATCAGCATTTGCAACATGTCCTATCGTAAAAAGTTCTGGACCTTCCCTGGCAGGAGAGAGGATGAAATTGACCTGCACTGTTCAAGACGTATTCCCTGTCAACCTTTTCCAAATTCTGTGGCTGGATGGAGAAAGAGAAATCTGGAGAGAGGAATCTCAGTCATTTTCAAGTGGATCAACAGATCTGACTTCGGTTTATTCTTTACAAGTAGACGCCGAAGACCAGGACAGACATATCACCTGCAAGGTCTTGCTGGACATGCATGGTGTGCCACCTTCACAAGTAGTGAAGACTGCATTTACTACATTGTCCATTCACTGTAAGTCAGTGTTATTTTTTAAATCCTCTTAATTTTGGCTTTGATCTGTATTTTTGTGACATTTCGCTCCTTTTACAGATCCCCCTAGAGCCACAAGGATTATTGCAAGCCCACTGACAAAGTTAAAGGAGGGAGAACCTGTGAGCTTTTCTTGCCTTTCTGACAGCTTTCCTGCAGGGCGTATGGTGCTAAGCAGGGTTGTGGATGGCATACGAACAGAGCTAAAGACCATTGATGGGGTTGAAACTTTATTTACCCTACCTTCGGTTACGCTGGATGATGCTGGCATCTACGTTTGTGAAGCTTCTAATATTTATGGGAATCACAGCGACAGTCTGGAGATTACCGTGAAAGGTACATTTTTTTCGTGGTATTCAATCAAAATCAGTCCCCATCCCCTGGAAACAGTGTTAATATCTTGTAAAAATTAAAACATCAATAGTTAATAAAAATAAATAATATTTTTTAGAGTGCCTTGTTCTCCATTTTGCCTTGTTCTCCTTTTCATTGTAATTGATTAATTTTGCTTGTACTTTAGTTTTGCTCTTAGTTCCGTCTAGGCAACTGACAATTATTGTGCCTCTTTTAATGCAGCACCTCCCAGGAATACGACAGTGGAGATCTTCCCATCCACAAATGTTCAGGAGGGGCAGAATATCACCATCTGTTGTCGCTCCGTGAGTTTCCCTCCACCTGCGGTGGTCCTCAGCAAGCTGGATAGCGAGACAAACATCTACTCCCTTGATGGTGTCTTTATACTAATGAACCTCACTCCAAATGACACAGGCCTATATCAGGTCAATGTCACAAACGACCTGGGTTACGAAACAGAGGTTTTCAATATCAATGTGATAGGTGAGTGTAACCATATTATATCAGATTAATTATGAAAACACTTATGGTTTACTCTTTGACCTCATGAGATAGTAAACAGTTTTTTATACGCGCTCTCTAGATCAGTGGTCCCCAACCTTTTTATCATCGTGAACCAGACAATTTTACCGTTGGCCGATGGGGGGTGGGTAGGGGGTGGATTGTTGCGGGTGGATCGTAGGTGGTGCTAGGCGACCATCAACCGTTTTGTCAGAGGATGAAAACTGACAAAACATTGTTGCCACTCTGATACAAGCTTTATTTAGAGAGAAAATTACAAAGCACTGCAGTGTTTGGGTGTTCTGTGTTTGTCTGAGATAATTAGTTTACCGAAATTTATATATTTCATACAAAGTATGAAGCTGATCAGTCAGTTCTTGTCAAATGACTCTTGGTAGTATGCTCCGGACATTCATTTAACTGGGTGTGTCTGAATGATGCGAGTGCGTCTCGCCGCTTGCGCGTGCAAGCCACACACTTCCATTGGAGATGACGAACTAGAAATGATGGAATATGCAATCCTCATTTGCGATCTTCAGAAGTTGATCTTAAAATCTTAAGAGCAGTAAGATGTAAAGAGAGAATACAGTCATTTTTCAAAATAAAAGTTTTTTCAAAATAAAAGGTCATTCAGACGCAGATAAAAAATAAAACGAAAATAATTAAGGATTTCTTGTGCAGTACCAATTGTTAAACGGACTGGTACTGGTGGTTAAGGACCACTGCTCTAGATCTCAGCGCAATTAGAAGTTCATCTCTTTGTTTTTCACTCACATTTTCCATGGGTCTTAAAGTTTTAAAGCGCTTTTAATAGATTTATGGCCTAAAAAGGTTAATTTATTGTGATGAATTGTTTTCTTATCAGTCATTTTAAAGTGACAAAGCAAAAAATTTTAACTCTCTGACCAAGTATCAAATATTTATATCTTTTAATATTTATATTGTATATATATGGTTTATTTTACTTTAATTGATCTTAAAAAGTCTTAAATTTACCCTCATAAAATCTCCAGAAACCCTGTATTTTAAATACATTCGCTGCATTTTGTGTACGTTTTTCCCCCTAATTTATTAGGGATGTGTATTTGCATATTTGTGCTTTTGTCATTGCATTTAAACTTGGTTTGACACTGACACTTACATCGTTATGTTTGATTTCTCGTTACAGAGAAAAGATTGGACTCTCCATTGGGTTGGACTGACTTTTTAACCCTAGCCATTTTCTTGGGAGGTTCTGCTGCTCTGCTTGGTCTTGTGCTGTATGTGTGGAGAGAAAGAAAGAAGGGGTTTTATGATCTTACGAAGGGCATTATATAAACAATGAATAGACTCCAGTAAGTGTTTCAGAAGCAGCTAAGCTGTCGTATCAGGGCCCCGGGGCCCCCTAAAGTGAGAACTGCAGGTGACTGGATTGATCATCTGAAACTTCAGGTGAAATTAATACCTGAGTCCGCTGTGAACCTGCAGTCTCCACAGGCAGAGATCATCAATGTTCCTGGGATTTGCTTGCTCAGAGGAGGTAACTGAACTGGTGTGGTTCGTTCTCGTTCGTTGTATGTTGGGAGATCTTTGAGACCCCCTGTTTTGCACTTAAAGCAGTTTTAAATATAATTGAAATTTGGGATACAAACTGTGAAACATTAGCATTGTAACCTAGCCACAAAATTTGGTACATTTTAGATCACAACAATCAGTTTGCTGTACTCAAGTTGACAACACAAACAAATTCTGTATTTAATTCAGTGTGGTGATTGTATCAAATGTTTTCATTTTGATATTTATTAAACAAAACAGCTTTGTCATTTGATCCGAGAAAGCGTTATGGGAAAATCCAGGGAAATTCTCAGCATCTGATATGGCTTCGCTTTTACATTTCACTTTTACTTCTCGTTCTTCCCGCTGTATTATCTGTGAAAGCGCATATTCACTTATCAGTACAAGCCGTTTCCTAAATTCCAACAAGACAGGAACAAGTTGATCAAAATAAGCGCTAAACACACCCTCCAAAAATAAACTACTCCACAGTTGTGCTCTGGTCCTTCAAAGACCAATCAGAAGAGAGACCCTCAGAAAAAAACATCTCTTTCTTCTTCCCTTTTATTTTAGCCCTGCACATTAACACCAACTGATTCAAAATCGAGTTCCTTGTTCCTTTTTTAGAGTCTTGTATTGATTTTCTTTTAGTCTGTGGTCCTATAAAAGGCTGTTGCCATGGTAACCATCCAGATGCAATGGGAAAAGGGGGTGGGTTGTGTTTTTATGTTCCACAGGGAAAAGAAGGAGAGGCAAAGGTGTGAATGGAACAAAGATGGAAGGTTCACCCTTTTCCTTTTCTAGCCTCTACACATTAAATCTAATACAGCCATTATGAACAACCAGTAATGTGCCAAATATGTAGTCTGCAATCATAGTTGTGTCTTCACTTGGACATTAGGTTTCGAAAGAGATGTATGACTAACAATAATAATGATAAATGATCCACTTGAATCCTGATTTATAAGTGTGTTTTCCAGTAAAGCTCTTAGCACATCCTTATGCTCAGTGTACTTGAAGTGTGTCTGAACATGGTGATTATGTGAGGATTGTTTGTTATTGGTATAAGTGGCGTCCTTGTGAACCTACTATCAGCGTAATTGGTTGATGGTCAAGAACAGCTCATTCTTGTCCTCTGAGTCTCTTTGTTGGCGTCTGATTCTATAAACCTTGACATTAAGTATCTGTCTTACTAAACATAGAGTCCAGACAAAGGAAACAAATAGAGAACCACTGGATATTTATCATAGTTTTACTACAAATAAAGCTAAACTTATTTTGGGGATTTTATTTTGTTGTTGTTGTAAATGAAAAGTATTATGGTGCTATATTTTGGGTTAGAATGACTAAACCATAACTTTGGCCATACTTTGGTCCTGGATTATAATAGACAGTGGGTGTTTTTTAGATTCACAACATAAAATACCTAAAAAACCTTTTTTTAAAAATGTTATTGCTATTCTATTGACCATCATAAAAAGCTTTAACTCTTACATTGCATCAGGAATTTACGTAGTAACTGTAGTTTAATAACTGTAGTTGATGAGCTGTATGAGAACAAAAAGCAAATTATTCAATATATACAATATTTGGGAAATATTTAAAAAGGGAAAAAAATCAAAGGGGGGCTAATAATTTTGACTTTAACTGTATATGTATGTATACAAACACACATTAACACGATAATTGTAGTTTATGAGAGAATAAAAAGCTAATAATTCAATATTAAAGTTAAATTATATATATATATATATATATATATACAGTTGAAGTCATAATTATTAGCCCTCCTGAATTATTAGACCGCTTGTTTCTTTTTTCCCAATTTTCTGTTTAACGAAGAGAAGATTTTTTCAACACATTTCAAAACATAATGGTTTTAATAACTCATTTCTAATAACTGATTTATTTTATCTTTGCCATGATGACTGAAAATAATATTTTACTAGATATTTTTCAAGACACCTCTATACAGCTTAAAGTGACATTTAAAGGCTTAACTGGGTTAATTAGGTTAACTAGGCAGGTTAGGGTAATTAGGCAAGTTATTGTATAACAATTTTTTGTTCTGTAGACAATCGAGAAAAAATATAGCTCAAAGGTGCTAATAATTTTGTCCCTAAAACAGTGTTTAAAAAATTAAAAACTCATATTATTCTAGCCAAAATTAAACAAACAATACTTTTCTCTAAAGAAAAAAATATTATCAGACATACTGTGAAAATTTCCTTGCTCTGTTAAACATCATTTGGAAATTATTTAAAAAAGAAGAAAAAAAATTAAAGAGGGCTAATAATTCTGACTTCAACTGTATGTATGTATATATATATATATATATATATATATATATATATATATATATATATATGTATGTATGTATGTATGTATGTGTATATGTATATGTATATATATATATATATATATATATATATATATATATATATATATGTATGTATATGTATGTATGTGTGTGTGTGTGTGTGTATATATATATATATGCGTTTGTGTGTTGTTATAATGTTGTAACAATATTTTATTCCGGGATATTTTAAATAAATACTTTAATACAAAGCTGTTTGACTAACAACAAGGATTCAACATAAATCACAAGACCAAATATTACTAAACTTGAAAACGTGATGATGACAAAATAAATCTGTAATTTATGAAAAATCGGATTTTGAAATCTGATGATAATGTTATATACTCTAATTATGAACCATTTATTTGAAATTTAATTATGTAAGTAGTCACTATACAGGAGTGACATGGTGACAAGAAGGTTGCTGGTTTGAGTCCCGGCTGGGCTGGCATTTCTGTGTGGTTTGCCTTCTCCCCCCGTGTTCTTCTGACCCCCACAGTCCAAAGACATTTGCTATAGGTGAATTGAATAAGCTAAAATGGTCATAGTGTATTTGTGTGAGTAAGAGAGTGTGTATGTTTCCCAGTACTGGGTTGCAGCTGGAAGAGCATCCACTGTGTAAAACATGCTGGATAAGTTGACGGTTCATTCCGTTGTGGCGACCCCTGATTAATAAAGGAACTAAGTTGAAGGAAAATGAATAAATGAGTTACTATATCAGCACTGTGCATAGCAAAAGCATAGATCTGACACATTTTGTGTATCTAAGATATTGGAGCCTTTTGTTATTAAAAAAAATGTTAATAAACATACTTTCTCTCCATTATTTTTAATTGTAGTTCTGTTTGTCCTCACGTTCTAGTCAAATCCGTTACATACGTTGTAAAAACTGGCGGAAAAATTGGGAAAGCATTGATGCATCTTATACTTAAAAAAGGATACACCAGCAGTATTAATTATGTCAACTCTGTTACTGTGATTTTTTAAATTCACTTATTATAAACAATATGATGGAAATACATAAAATTCTGTTTTAGATATGCCATGTGGTATCTGAGGTTAGCCTCTTGAGCTAAATCCCAAAATGCTAAAAAAAAAAAAAACGTACTGAAAAAAAACAGCTTAAACCAGCCTAGGCTGGTTGGCTGGTTTTAGCTGGTCGACTAGGCTGGTTTTAGCCATTTCCAGGCTGGTTTTTCAGCCAATTCCAACCTGGTCTTAGCTGGTCAGGCTGGTAGTTAAAAACCAGCTATTTTGCATTATTTTTATTGAATAAGGGATATAGTTTACTGTAAATAATACATTTGTTGTGGCCTATATCACTTCAGTTTGAGCAAAATCAATGGAAAATGTACCCGCAATTTTGGAATGGGTGTCACAAGATAATAGCTTGTTTTTAGTATCCGCTGCCTCGCTCCCCATCAGTTACAGTGTGTTTTCATTCTCTGTTTGCTTAGTTGAGGCGAATGAACCATTCCGGTGACATTTAGCACAAAAAAACCCTCGGGAGGATGAGAAAGATCGATAGTTTATCCAGCTTGCGAAAGCGTCAGTATTTTAAAAGCGTACTTATGAGCAGTTTGTTCAAGTCTGTGACACATTCTGACCCTTGGGCCCCTAAAAGCTCCTGCTTATGTAACACTCCATGAAAAAAAAAAAGAGCAGCAACAATGATTTGTGCAGAGCGCTGTCTTTTTTAATCGCTTAAAGACACTGGTATTTCCTGGCTCGGGGTTGCAGTTTGGACACGCAGAGCATCTCTAGAGCGCGGCCGCTCCAAACGCCTCCACTCCGGCTTGTTTGTTTGATTGCCGTTTAAAGAAAAACACAATATTTATGAAGGCAAAACCTCCTGGTTCAGCAGATGGCGTTTGACCCAACGTTCTTGCAGCGCATCCTTCACTGATATGACAGATCAGCAGCTTTTTTACAATGTCCCCATTTGCTTTTTCTTTTTCCAAGAGACCCATTGTGTTTTGTATCGTTTCCGAAGCACATTTGACTTTTGTTGATTCGTATTGTAGATGCAGAGAAGCGCTAAAAATGCCCACAGCTGGCCGACAGAAGCGTGTCTGTGTGTGTTAACGGACAGATGATCTCTTTCCAAGAAGCCAATAACACGAGGAATGTTTCATTTGGCCGGCAAGTTTATCGGTGTGGGTCAGATGAGTTTTCTTTTCATCACTAACAGACCGCTCCATGCTGACTCCCCAAAATGTTCCTTTTGAACTTCGAACAGGAGTGCTATGACTCAAAAAAATTTCCCTTGTGCTGTGCCTTTGTAAGGGATTATCCATTTTGATGAAACAACATTTATGAGATGGTTTCCTGCATAAGTGATTTCGATAAACGAATAATGTGAGTGCATGTATTCGGGGATCCAATATGGATTTTTTTTGTCCGATATCAATAACCGAAAACTCTTAAGATTTGGAGGCTGATAACCAATATATCAGTCGATAAAAATAAATAAATAATCTATATTTTTTAAATGTAATATTTTTACACAGTCATCAACGTTTGAACTGATCTTGTGAACTCAATAGCCTACTCAAAGCAAAATAAGCAATAATTGAAAAAATTTCAAGGTGGTGCACTGGGCAAGTCTGAACAATTTCCCCGCACGCATGGGCAAAGCAGGCTGTTCTGTAAAATTACTTAATCTATCGCCTTAAAGATAACATCCTAATTTTGATATGGGACCAGTAAAGATAACATTAAAATGTTAAATGCATCCCTAGTTATTTTTTGTGATTTTGCAGGCGATGATGGCGATAATGTTAAAATGATTGCAAAATAAAATGAATAAAACACTGTATTAATCATGCCAGGCCACTAGATGGCAATTTCAGTTTCTAAAGAAATACTACATGCCTGCGCACATAGATTGTGCATCTCAAATAATATGGCTTTGTCTAAAAATCGTATACTTCCATACTATATAGTGCGCTAAAAACAGTATGCCAGCCGAGTTCATAGAATTCAAAAAACAGTACGTGAGAAGTATCCGGATCACCTACTACTTATGGCGAGATTCTGAAGTGCTACACTATCCCATGATGCTCCGTGAGAGAATTCGTGAAAGGGAGTGAATCGATGAAACTGATGCGGCTAGATCACGTGATTATGACAAAATGGTGGATGTAGTTCCATTCATACTCCTTCCACTCATACTATATAGAACGCAGTTTTCTAACAGTCAAATAGTAAATTGAAATTCAAATACCTACTGAATAGTAGGCAATTTCGGACACAACCACAGTATTGGCCAATAGATTAAAAACCACAGACAGAAATCATAGAAACCACATAGAGCTAAGGAATCTAAGTGGTTGCGATTGCGGTCGACCATGTTTGAGGACAAAAACAGGAGCGCACAATATAAATCAAAACAGAAAAAAACAACCTCATAATGAAAAACACCTCATAAACACTCTAATACTAAACACTAAAATAGACTGATGTACAGTATAGACCTTAATAAAGTCTCTTTGTGTGTCTGAGAAGCTGAAAATATACTTTCCATAACATTCTGTCTCCAGTGGTGAAGTGTAACTCGATAAGCTGACGGAGTGAACCAAATAAATGATTAAGTTTAACTGTAACTGGCAGGGTATCAACAAGCTAATGCAAGAAAACA